GGCACCCCACACACCTATGATTGTTTCTCTGCGATTTCGAAATCATGGAAATGCTGGCTCACTTCAAGCCTGAACACCTCTCCAGAGCGGTATTTTGGTTTGACATTCATGAGGGCAAACGGTCTAGCCTGAGATGAGGAGGGCCAAGTATGGGAAGCGGGAAGCCCAGCAGTGGCTGAGTTTCTCTTTCCTGACTGAAGGAACTGAAGGTTGGTTCCCTTGGGCTGCAGAAGGCAAGCTGGGCATGAGGTTGGCAGCGATGCAGCCATGTCTTAGGACTCAGGCTCAACTCTGCCTCGCTGGCATCTCCCAGTCCTGCCACCCCCCTTCCCCCATACTGGGGATTGAACCCAGGGGTGCCTGACCAAAAAATCCTCAGCCTGTTTTTAATTTTTTTTTTTTTGAGACAGGGTCTTGCTAAGCTGGTAATTGGTGTTTAAGAAAAAGTTTCACTTGCTTCACGTTCCAAAAGTGTAGAAAACAAAACAAGGACAAGTCTCTGCCATCTAGCCTCTGTGTTCCTCAGCCTCGACCCAGGGACCAGACACTTCTTTGTAATAGGGACTGCCCCATGCTTTGTAAGATGTTCAACAGCATTGCTGGATGTCACCCACTAGGTTCCAATAGCACCCCCACTCCCCAAAGTTATGACAGAAAAAGTTGCCTCCAAATATTGCCAAATGTCCCAGAAGGACAAATTCGTCCTGGGTTGAGAATCATTGGTTTTGACAAAACACTCAGAAAAGCTAAATTTTCATTGGGTAAAATTTCATTCAGGTGGTTGTTGACTCTATGACAATGTGGCATTTGAATGAAGGTTAACAGACCAAATGATCTGTCTTGAGCAGCCAGAGAGAAAGAAGCCCAAGGTTCATGGCTTCCAAGAGGCATAAGGCTACTTTAAAATAATCCTGGGGCCTCCGATTTCAAAGGAAAAAGAGGGAAATCAGAAGAGAGTATAATATGTCAAAATACACTCTACTATTATGTATATCTATAAAGAACAAATAAAAAATTTAACTTAAAAAAAAAGAAGAAGAGAGAGACCTTTGAACTTGGGCTTTAAGGTTAGATAAGGCAGAAAAGGCAAAACCATAAGATCTGTAATTGTGCACAGCAGGACCTGCAGCAGTAGGGTCTTGGAGATCCCTTCTCATTCCAAGGCTGTGGATGGGACTGAGTCTTTGCATCCAGCCAACCACCCACAAAGCATCTCTCATTGTTCATTTTGGAAGCAGCATTTAGTTATTCAAGTCTCAAAAAACTGAAAAAGGCATTTAAAAATGATTGTCCCTTAATTTTTCACACCAAATAGACAAGAAAGAGACACATAAGCCTGAACTTGGGTTCAGGGGACATTCTTTTCGTGGAAACAGACTGTAAACTTGTACACATTCCTTGAAGCAAATCCCTCAAAAGCAGTACAAATTGGTTTTCCAGATAAGATCACCCACTCTCTTTTCCACCTGTCTCCCGTGCAAGTACAACAGACAGAGGGAAAAGGGTTCGGCGGCCTGAGTCTCTTTCATTCCTCAAGACAGCACAATGATTTATGATTTCCAAGTCTGAGAATTTCGGAAGCCACCAAACATGAAAAGAGTGAAAATTCTTCTAAGTCAAGAGAAAGAAAAGAGATGACTTGGTAGCATAGTGTGCGCTTCTCAGACTCTGAAACACTACTCTGAAAGCTGTCACAAGTAAGCATTGCATGGTCCCATGCAGACAAAAAGGGTTATTTTATCCAGATTATTCCCCCACATTGCCAGGGAAAAGGGACTCATTTGTAATCATCAAAGGAATGCTGACAGACTTGAAATGGGATTACACTCTATTATACTCATCCGAATTAAAGATTTGTTTTGGAGATCATTCTTAGATTTCTTCCTTTCTGCTCCTCAACTCCAAATGAGGCCATTTGTATTCACGGGACATAGCAGGCAGACATGAAATCAGACTGTTCGCAAACATATGTTTCAGACTCAACGGCCTGAGTTCTGAATTTTAATGTTGCCTGATTTCTGTATGTGGAAAACCTTGCTCTCGGGGTTGAAACTAGCCCTAGCATCATTTCAACCTCTTATTTGTTAGGGCAAGGGAGATTCTACTTTAGGGGCTTCCATGAGCTGGGGGTGCAGGTTGGACGGAATGTAAGTCAGAAATGACCACATGGAAAGGTAAATCTATGCAGAGACAGAGCTGTCTGGCAGGTGTGTGGACACACTAAGAAACCCACGGTTTCAAACTCTGCATTTGATTACAATTTTTATCAGAGAACGTGACCTGCCAAATCTATTGTTGTATTTCAGACTTCTTTGAGATTATTTGTGTGTCCATGAACCCATTTAAACGCAGGCTCCCTCAGGACAGGAATGACTCTTTGGGGTAGCCCTATATCATACATAGCACAGCATCTGGTACCTGAGACACTTTCATGTTTCCTGTTCTTTCCTAGGGAACTACCATTGGGTAGTCATCCTGGAACTGAGACCCCCACTGGAAAGGAGGCTGGGGTGCCCCCCAGTGGGTCAAGAAAGTGTCTTGTGATTTTAAGTGGGGCAGAGAACAAAATATTTGAGAGACCATCTCTCTCTCAAGGTAGAGATATTACTCTTTTAAGTAGGAAGACAAAACAAAGCATGAGGCCAAATGTATTAGAAGTTGTACCACTTCTTTGCTCACAATTTCTTTTCTATCTCATACATTCCTTCCAGACTTAGTGTCTTTCTTCATGAAGTGTATCCTTTAGTAGTTCTTTCAGTAAAGATTTATTAGTGATAAATTTGTTTTTATTATTTCACATGCACTCTTGGAAATTAGTTTTTTAGGTGCATATGTAATCCTGAGCTGACAGCAGAGGGATTTTTTTCTTAAAACCTAGAAAATACTATTTCAGTTCTCACTGTTGTTGGAGACACTTTACAGATAACATTTCTTTCCCTCTGGTTGTTTTTAAAATGGTCACTTTGTTTTTAGTATTTTAGTTTTGATATGATACATTTACAAATAATTCATTTTATTTGTTTTGCTTGGAATACTCAAATTTGAATCTTTCTTGAAAATCTATGTCAGGATACTATGGCCTTGAGTGTTACTTTTCCCAGTTTTCTTTCAGACATTTATCAATGTATATTGAACTTTCATTCTGTCCTCCCATCTTATAAATTTTCTTTCATATTTCCATGTCTTTATCTCTTTTGTTCTATTCCAAATAATTTCTCTAGCTTTATTTTCCAGCTCATTGTTTCTCTCTTCAGCCATGTCTAATCTGCTCTTTAACTTATCTATCAAGCTTTTAATTTTGATCAATATATTTTTTCATGTTAGTAGATATATTTGGCTTTTTTAATTTAAATATGCTTGCTCCTTCTTGATAGTCTTTTGTTTCTTTTTCATTTGAAGAATTTTCTTTCTTTTTTCTCAAGGACTCTGTTGCTGCTGCTATTGAATATTGCGTTTGTAATGTAATGTTGAGTTGTGTGTTCATAATCAGCAGGATTATACCTATAGGCATCTTGAGGAGCCTTTGTTGATGTTTCCATGCAGGGTTTAGATGTGTGTTCATTTTTGCCAAATACTAGGGATATCTTTTATCAGTTTTTCAGCTTGTGTTTCCCAGTAAAGGTAATGAATTCAAAACCCAGAGTCTCAAAAAAGCAGGTCTCTGGTTACGCATTCTCAAAGGAGATTATCTTCTTTCACCAATCCCGAGCCCAAACCGAGACCAGGTTCCTTGTTGTCACTTTGTCACTTTCCTTTGCAAGGACTAATTTGCTTCTCATCCACCTTTTAAGGAAGGTTTACTCCTACAAGGTCACAAATTTCTAAAGAGATCTCTACTCCAATTCCTCCTGTTACACTAGTCTAATGCCTGTCTCCTGCCCTTATGCACCTGTTGATTCCTGATTGTCAAAACCATCAAACAACCCCAGTGCACCCCTAGAGTCAGCTCTGGAAGACCTCTCTGGCCTTCCTGCCCTTCCTTCATTTTTGTTCCCTGAGCACTTCTTCTACTTAATCATTCATTTATGCATTTAAAAGATATTTGTTATATCTTATTTAGCAGTTCCAGGTATCTTTGTGGCTAGATGGTGTTTCCTTCGACAGGCCGTGGAATAAGAGCTGGCTCTGGTTGTTTAAGTGATGAACATTACAGAAGTGGCATTGCTTTGAACTACTTGCAATATGTCTATTTTTATTTTCTTCCCTTGCTATTAGAAAAACTCCTAAAAGTCACTTAACCTCTCTTCACTTTGTCATTGCAATTTTCTGTGACAGTTGTGAGGATTCAAGTAGTTAATGAATGTGAAGTTTCTAGAGCAGTGTTCGTTATGTGGTGATGTATGTGCCAGATACATATACATACAAAAAAACG